TCATTAACTTTTGATGTAGACGTATGTACTCAGAAAATGGCAGATTTCCAAAGAAATATTACCTATTATTATGATATCATAATATCGTTCTTTTGAATTAAGCTGGGCTGCTGAAGCTTAAAAAACATTATTTTCCGTAGTATTTAGATGTGTACGGTTTTCTTAAAGTGTTGGAAACACTAGATTCTAACGTACTTCTCACTGAAATGAAAAGCAGGCTTGTTGATCTTTGATGTAAAGCACAGAGGAAGATGTCAGTCACAAGTATGATTTATTCTGTCTTTCAATACTTTTTCAAGAAATAGCAGACTATATCAACATATTATTATCAGAGTATATATATATATATATATATATATATCAGGTCAGCCTTATTTCTGTTACCATAATGCCAATAGATGGTACTACCTGCAGCTGTTCCTACTGCCTTGTAGGTGCATACGGAAGTGTGAAAGGTTAAGGGAGTAAACCCTAAACAAATCCAGAGGGAGGACCCCTAAGGCAGTCGACAGGGAAGAACGATCCGAACTATCTTCTGGCAGCCCCTGCAACTTTACTGGTTCCAAATGTATTGACCTCGTCTCTCCTTTGGACTAAATCAGCTAAGTCAAGAGGGGGTTCGTGCAAATTGGGCAAGGCACGTTCTCCATATAGTCAGGCCCAGGTATTTAGCTTAGTCAAGATTTCAAGATTTCTGGGAGGACGCTGCAAAAGAGCAAATACAGCGGATCAGACCCACAGCTCAACCACAGCTACAGCAGCATTGTATGATTATGGAGAGGACACTTTATCCTTGTTGTGACGAGCAAGCGAAAAACACGGGAGGCGGCAGTTTACGGGTTATAAGACATCCTTATTTGGCGAAACAGGATGTTGCCACGGGTCACATTTGACGTTGAGAGCGACTATTCAGTCACACTGATCAGCTACCGCCCGTCTCAAACTGGGCAGCCCCCAGTCAGTAAGGTGCTGATCCGCCACGTCTGTTTGCTTCTATGGGTGTATGGAGCTAGGACAAAAACCGAAAGGCAGACGTTAAATCCAGCACCAGGCAAAAAAGAGTAAAACTAACCCCATGGAAACTGGGAACCTGGAATGTTACAACAATGACAACCGGAATGGACACTACAAACCTGGAGAAAACAGAGGACATAAAAAAGACAGCAATCATAGACAGGGAGCTCACACGACTCAATGTAGACATCACTGCCCTGCAAGAGACAAGACTTGCTAACTCTGGTACCATCAGTGAAAGAAACTATACATTCTTCTGAAAGGGTCTTGGGGAAGATGAGAGGAGAATCCATGGTGTGGGCTTTGCAGTACACAATAGACTGCTGAACAGGATCAGCACCCCCCCCCCCCAAGGTATATCTGAACGTATCACTGTCATGGAAATGGAAACCAAAACTGGAAAGGCTCACTTCATCAGCGCTGACGCCCCAACCCTAACAACATAAAAATGAGAAAAAGACCAGTTTTACGAGGAAATTCAGGATACAATCAACAACGCCCCCCCCCCCAAAAAGAGCAACTGTTTCTCATGGGTGACTTCAATGCAAGAGTAGATGCTGAAAACAAAATATGGCCCACCTGCCTTGGACCTTTTGGGCTGGGAAAAATCAGCGAGAATGGTCAGAGACTCTTAGAATTCTGCACTAATAACAATCTTTGCATCAGTAACCCCTTCTACAGTGGCACGGGCAGACACAAGGTTTCTTGGTGCCATCCAAGATCAGGCCATTGGCATCAAATTGACTTCATCATCGTCAGAAAGAAAGATGCCAACATGGTAAAGCAAACAAGATCCTTCTACAGTGCAGACTGCAACACAGACAACCTTTTAGTTATAGCTAAGGCAAAGGGGGTCACAAAGAAAACCCCAAGGGCTGAAAAACAAAAGAAACCTAAGATCAACATAAGAAATACCAAAGACCCAGTGTTAAAGGCAAAATTTCAAGAACATGTTAAAGAAGAGCTCCAACATCTAGATAGCTCATCCCTAGACAACATGTGGAATAGCATGAGATCAACAATTTATAATTCTGTGTCGATTACTTTTGGAATAGAAAGACCTTACAAGGCAGAATAGGTTGAGGTCAGTGCATCAACACTCGCACCTTTACTCGAGAAAAAGTGTAAGATTCTGATAGAACACAACACAAATCCAACAGAGAGTACAAGGCAACAACTACGTGCTGCTAAATCCAACCTTAAAAGAGAAACCAGAAAGTGTGCCAGTCAGTACTGGGACAAGTTATGTTCAGAAATTCAACAGGCCAGCGATACAGGTAATATCAGGAAATTGTATGAAAACATCAGAGTTGCTATTGGACCAACCGCAAACAAAGTGGCACCTCTAAAGTATGCGACAGGTGAACAGCTGACAGAGAAGAAGAGACAAATTGAAAGATGGGTGGAACATTATTCAGACTTATACTCAGAGGAGCGACATGTTTATAGACAGCTACATGAGGCCATTTCTCAGCTCCCCGAAATGTCAGAACTTGATACAAGACCAACAGAAGAAGAACTCTCCTCTGCAATCGATGAACTCGCTTGCAGAGAAGCACAGGAAATAACAACATACCTGCTGAAGTGCTGAAAGAGAACAAAGAGACCCTCCTCCCATATCTCTGCAAGCTACTAACGACTTGTTGGCTGAAAGTAGAAATTCCACAAGACATGAGAGATGCCAAAATCACCCACTCTACGAAAACAAAGGGGACAACGGAGATTGCAACAACTACAGGGGTATCTCACTGCTAAGCATCACTGGGAAAGCTTTCGCTAGGATCATCCTGAAGCGACTTCAGAAACTAGCAGAAAGAGTCCTACCAGAGAGCCAATGCGGTTTCAGATCAAACCGCTCGCTCAACAATGGACATGATCTTTTCTATTCGTCAGCTACAAGAAAAATGAAGGGAGCAAAGACTGCCACTACATACTGCGTTCGTCAATCTGACAAAGGCTTTTGATACAGTCAGTAGATCAGGACTGTACATGGTGCTTGGAAAATTGGCTGTCCCCCAATACTGCTACAGCTCATCATCTCATTTCACGAAGATATGAAGGCCACCATTCAGTTTGACGGTTCAACATCAAACAGTTTCAACATCAAAAGCGGAGTAAAGCAAGGTTGTGTCTTAGCACCAAGCCGTTTTAGCACTTATTTTGCTGTCTTACTGCAACACGCATTCAAAAAGTCACCAGGGGATGTCATCCTCCACTGGAGAACTGATGGGTCGCTCTTCAATCTTGCTCGACTCAAGGCCAAGACCAAGATCAACAAGACAACAGTACGAGACCTTCTCTTCGCCGATGATGCTGATCTTGTTGCTCACAGTGAATCAACCGTACAAACAATGATGGACCGCCTATCAACAGCATGCAAGGTCTTTAGCTTGGTCATAAGTGTTAAGAAAACAGTCATCCTTACCAAAGAAGGTGCAGAGCAGAGCCATATATGGCTTAACGACAAGGAACTTAAGACAGTGGACAAGTTCTGTTACGTGGGGTCTACCATCAGCTCTACAACATCACTTGATTATGAGATCAACACCAGGATAGGGAAAGCAGCAACAACTTTTGGAAGGCTGACAAAACGAGCATAGGAAAAAAAAAATTAACCATCAAAACAAAGATCAAGATTTGCGAAGCATGTGTCCTCAGCACACTCCTTTATGGATCTGAAAAATGGACCTTGTACAGCAGACAAGAAAAGCGCCTCGACATTTTCCATCTCAGATGCTGCCGCAAGATCTTAGGCATTTCGTGGCGTGACAAGGTTACAAATGTTAAAGTGTTGGCAGGGGCAAACCTCCAGAGCATGACAACTATCATGTGTTTAAAAAGATTGAGATGGCTTGGCCATGTCAAGAGAATGGATGACAACCGGATTCTGAAGCAACTTCTCTATGGAGAACTTGCCCAGGGAAAGAGACAAAGAAGAAGACCAAAATTGAGGTACAAAGACACCAATAAAGAACAGCTTATCAAAGCTTGGAGTAGATGCTAACATCAGGGAAGAAATAGCTGAGGACAGGAAAACAGGGAGGAAATTATAAAGGAAAGAACTAAAAGGCTAGAGAACAGCCTTAGAAACGACAAGGCTGAGAAGCGCCAACGACGAAAGAAAAACAGCGGGAATACAGAGCTTCTATCTACGACACTGACCTGTTTAGAGTTTGAGTCCATGATTCACTTCCTTTAACTTTAAGTCAGTTTGTGTATACAGATATATTTCTTCTTTTAAATAACGCACACCTGCTATGGGAAAACGATAGAAGACGAGTGCTAGGAATGCTCCAGGTTGGAAGTACACAGCAAGACGTGGCTCAAAGACTCAATGCCAGTAGCATTGGACGTTTGTGGGAATGTGTCGGGACGTCTAAAATGACGAATGATAGACCTACAAGAGGTAGGCCTCGGCTCACAACGTAGACACAACACATCTACTGCGTTCATCTCCAGAGCAGATTGTGCCCTCTGTCAATACTTCACGAAATGTCTCTGAATAAAGACCAATCTCAGAAAGAACTTACCAGCACCAAAAGCTGGATGAACTTGAGCAATACCTAGAAAAAATTTAACAGCAGATCCCCCCACCCCAAAGGATGTTTATCCAACAACTTATCTTTTTCATGAGCCGATACTGTCAGTCAGTCATCAGTGTGGCAAGTGGCCACATGTGACTTCTTCCTTGTTGTCTGTGTCGTCTTAAAAAGGAATGGATTCTCTAAGTGAGATTCGTTTACAAGCACAGTACAATGTTTGATTTCTAGGCATACTTTCTTGGGGCAGGGAATTTTGTTTGCAAGCATAGTACGAGGGCTGTCCCTCGGAAAACTGGAATTTAATTTGACTGTTATTTGAAAACTATTCAATATTTTCACACTCTGTAAACGCACACTTGTAAAACAATCATTTTGGAATTTCCCGATTGAGCGCCATAAGCTTTGCACTAAATAAACGAACACAGTAGTTCCCCAAAGATGGCTACCCCCTTGGAAAATTGGTCTAGGGCAGAAGTGAGGTCTATCTTTCGGTTTCTGACCGCAAAAGGTTTCAAACCTATAGAAATACACATTGAAATAAAGTCAGTTTAAGGGGAGAAAGTAACGGCAAAGTCACAGGTATATGAGTGGTGCAGTAAGTTCAAAGCCGTACATACGGATGTCAAAGACAAAGTTCACCCGGGGCCTTCTTTTTCTGCTAAGACTGAGGACAACAAGAGTGGCGTTCACGAACTCAGTCAAACAGACAAGCGTCTAAAAATTCGCGAAATTTCCGAGTCGCTAAACGTTTCAAAGTCGACTGTCCATAAGATAGTGTTTGATGAACTGCACTATCGAAAGGTCGCTGCTCAATGGGTCATAAAAGAGCTGACAGCTGACCACAAGACGCAACGTGTTGAAGTATCTCGGACTTTGTTGAATCGTTGTCGCCAAAAGTCATGAACACATCTGGAGACCTCCAACAATACGATGAAGCATTTCTGAGAAGCATTATTACAGCTGATGAGACTTGGATACACCACATGACTCCTGAGACGAAGAGGGATGCTATGGTTTGGGAGCACACGTGTTCACCCCCTGTTTAAAGTTCAGCCATCGGTGAAGAAACTCGTGGCCTCGGTTTTCTGGGATGCTAATGGTATTCCGCGTCTTGACATTCAGGACCCAGGACAAACTGTTAATGCTTCGGATACTGACAGACTCTTGATAAGCTGAGAGAGGTTGTGAGCCGAAAAAGACCAGGGCGGTTGTCCAGCGGGGTCATTTTGCAGCATGACAACACAGCGTCACACACCACAAACGCTACGAACGACTAGATCCAAAGGTTCGGCTGGGAAGTTCTGCCATACCCCGAACAGTCGGAACTTGGCCACGTCAGATTATCACCTTTTCGGACCAATGAAACACCATATTTGTGGACAGCGATTCACCGACGACAAAGACCTCCTGGAAGATTGGTTGAAATCCCTTGACGAAAATTCGTCAGGGAGGGTATCGTCTCCCTGATTCAGCGATATAAAAAATGCGTCCAGCAGGATGGTGATTATATTGAGAAATAAAGCACATGTTGAAGTATGATGTGTTACAGTTTTATTATAAAAGGACAAACATTTTTGCTTTTATGGACTTTTTCCGGTTTTCAGTGGGACAGCCCTCGTACAATTTGTGATTTCTATGCATATTTTCTTGGGGTTGGGAATTGCTCAGGGGTTGTTAAGATGAGGGAACTTTCTAGAGACGATTTAGTGACAGCTGTTTTGTACAGAGGGAGCAAAGCTCTGAGAAACTGGCAACTTACATAGACATCTTTTAGTTTTCTGTAAGGCTACCGAGCCATAAGCGGAGGTTGCCAGAAGGCTTAAAAATATGATCTCATGGCGCCGAGAAAAAAGAAAAAAAATCACCAAAATCGCGGGTCCTCTAGGTGGAGGAGTTGTATGTGACCCATGGGGCAATGTTGGCAAGTAGTAGTAGAGATTGTCTTCCCTTCTGGCCTTGATATTAAATATGTTTCGCATTTACTAAACATGCTGTATCAAGAACAGAAGACTCTCAGGTAATTCTTCGCTCGAAATAAAATCTGACACTTCAAAGGATTTTTAAAAAAATGAACCACCATGTTCTAGCTGCATTGGTTTTTGATTCAGAGAAACTGTGAAAATGGGATTGAGTTTTTGCTAGTGGTGGGTTCTGATGGGTTTTATAGTGGGTATTGTGGTCATTTGGATGAGGCCGTTGAAAATTGACACCTGGATGTCCAGCAACTCGGGGTAACAGGGTGATGTTTGAGAATATAAAAGTGTATACTTGATTGTTGAATGGACGTTGTTGATACGTTGGTTCAGTTTTGAGATTTTATTGATGCGATGCCCACGTGGAACCTGGGATCGAGTCACAAAATAATGATGTACAGAAATATGGCCAAGAAGGTATCCCAGAATAGAGAAAGGTGAAAAGTGTTTGTTCCTGGCCTGAACCCTAGTCCAAGGGGAGAAAGACAAAAAATGGACAGATAATCGTTTATAGTCGGGATGGTGTCTTGTGATTTGGAATCTTAGTTGTTTTCAGGCCTTCATTAAGAGATATCGGCTTGTTAAGAGAATTATTAGTTAAAGAAAAAAGACCGTAAATTCCAATCACAATAATCACTCATACAAAAGAGTTGAGAATAACACGAGTTTGGTAACACTCATATCTATCAATGTAGAGCCTCAGAGAACATAGGCTAAATACGTAGGAGATTGAAGCAGATAGTGAACTAATATCTATGAAGAAGAATAGGTAGACTACAGGGAGCCCTCTGGGTGCTGATGTCGGCAAACGGACTTGGCTGCCGTAATCTGGACATAATTGGCGAAAGACAGTGAATATTATAAAACAGAAACGACAGAAACATGCTGAGAATTACTCGGAAGGAAAAGATACCAAATGAGGTTTTACTCGAAGAAACTCTCGTGGGTGCTCGCTGATAAAAACAAACGGGAAAAGACAAATGCAGTTTTTGGGATACCTGAATGTACATAAGAGCTTTGAACATCTAGTTCTCACTGGCAAGATTGAAGGTACGCAAGGCAGGGGTGGATCCAGAGCAATAAAAAAAGATGGGTGACGGGGAAAGATCAGGATAACATAGCTTTTTTAAAGAGCCTCCGTCCGAGCAAAGGAAAGAACGGACGGCTACCATCGCCGAAATCTGTCACAGATCTGGCACTTGATGATGGTGATGGTTAATGATGAAATCAACATGTTCTCCCTTGTAAATTGTTTTTCGTTTATTTTGTTGGCTCCTGCTTTAGATATTCCCCATACAACGACAGATCCACATTTATTGATATTTGGACTCAATTTCCACAGGCAAATGAACTGTCTCGACGACGAGTTCGCCTGTTCTGACAGATGCATCGAAACTTCATGGGTCTGTGATGGGGAGTATGATTGTCCAGATAGTTCTGATGAGCAGAACTGCCCCATTGGCTGTAGTGGGTCCAACAAGTTCATCTGTGACAACGGAGATTGCATCCCTACTGCATACCGTTGTGATGGCGACAACGACTGTGGGGATGACACAGACGAGGTCTGGTGTGCAATGCTTGTTTACAGTTTATCATTTTTATTGAAAACCCATAAATTGCAAGAATTTTCTACCGGGCTTTCAGGTCTATGCTGTCAAAAGCCCTTTCAAAGTCCACTAAATGCAAAATAGTAGGGACATTTCTTCAGTTCTTTGCTCCTTAATATTTCGAGAACAAACAGATGATTTGTACATAAATTCTTGGGTAGAAATCCCGCTTATTTTTATCGGTATTTTAACTATAGCTGTTCTAATACGTGAAAAAAATGAGCAAAATAGTTTTCCTGACAATTTGACACCTTTAATAAAAACGTTTATTTTCCTTCCGGATCAATAGTTTTGACACATCGAGCTTGTTAACTGAATAACCTTTACATTTCAAAAAGCCCGTTAACTCTTTGAAGGGTTTCTTTTTTGTTGTTTTTTTTGGAGGGGGGGGGGGGGGTTGTTATAGCGCGATGTTGTGTGTGTGTGTGTGTGTGTGTGTGTGTGTGTATGTGTGTGTGTGTGTGTGTGTGTGTGTATGTGTATATATATATATACTAGCTGGGCCCTCCTTTCGATGAAAGGGATGATCGGTGCTTTAATATAAGCTAAAAGTCATTGGCCTACTATATTTACACTTTACTGGAATGGGGAAATAAATATTGAGAGATGCAAAAAATTAGGTCTAGATCTATACTCTCAAAACAAAATGCACCTCGCGAAATATCACTTCCGGATTTTCTAAAATTACAGAGACAGAAGTGTCGGCCTACAAAAGCGATCGGCGAAAAAAAGAAATTTAGCTTTTTGCAGCAAAACTGTCTCAAAACTGAAAAAACCAAGGGCGCCATGATCTGGAGAATATTTTAAAGAATTTTTTGGCGAAAACCGCATGTCGATCGATGCAGCCATTAAAATGCCTTTTGAATAGCAAAATTCGGCCACCACAAATAAATAATATATATATATATATATATATATATATATATATATATATATATATATATATATTATATATATATATGTGTTTGTGTGTGTGTGTGTGTGTGTGTGTGTGTGTGTGTGTGTGTGTGTGTGTGTGTGTGTGTGTGATGTAGTGTGGAGTGGGTTTTCTCTATATAAAAAAATAATACTATCATTATCGGTATTATTATTACCTACTACTATTATTATCAATAGTATTATCTTTTTAAATAGGATCTTATATTCTTCTTTTTCCTTCTTCTTAATCTTTCTTCTTCTGCTTTCCCTATCCTGATGTAAATCTCATAAACACGGGTGGAGACAGGCTGATGGTAGACCCCAGGGAGAGATTTGTCTACAGTTCTTTGTCGTTCAGCATATAAAAAATGGATGGCTCTGCTCTGCACTTCTGGAGGAAGATAACTGTTTCTTACACTGTAGACCAGCTAAGACCTTTCATGCTGTGGAAGACGACCATCATTGAAATTGATAATAAAAATAATATATATATATATATATATATATATATCGATATATATATATATATATCTATATTATACATCCCTCTGTGTTTGTGTGTGTGTGTGTGTGTGTGTGTGTGTGTGTGTGTGTGTGTGTGTGTGTGTGTGTGTGTGATTGTGTGTGTGTGGGTTTTTTCTAATTAAAAAATATTACTATCATTATCGTTATTATTATTACTACTACTATTATTATCATTAGTATTATCATTTTAAATAGTATTCTTATTCTTCTTCTTTTTCTTCTTCTTAATCTTCTTCTTCTGCTTTCCCTATCCTGATGTTAATCTCATAATCACGTGTTGTAGTACAGCTGATGGTAGACCCCAGGGAGCAGAACTTGTCTACAAGTTCCTTGTCGTTCAGCCATATAAAAAATTGTATGGCTCTGCTCTGCACCTTCTTGAGTAAGGATAACTGTTTTCTTAACACTGATGACCAAGCTAAGACCTTTCATGCTGTTGATAGACGGTCCATCATTGGTTAATATTGTTATTATTATTATTATTATTATTATTATTATTATTATTTCCTTCTATTATTTTGTTTTTCTGAGTTTTAACTTTCATCCAAACAGAGGAACTGTCCAGAGAAGAGTACCTGTAAAGCTGACCAGTTCATGTGTAATGCTACCAGGAAGTGTATCCCAGACAGTTGGAAGTGTGATTTTCAAAATGATTGTGATGACAATTCGGACGAGCTAGGTTGTCCATCGTGTTCGGGGCCTACTGTATTCCAGTGTAACAACACAGGCTGTATTCACAGTTCCTATTATTGTGACGGGGACGATGACTGTGGAGACAACAGCGATGAAGAAAACTGTCCGTGTGCCACTGATGAATTCACCTGCAAGTCAGGCGAATGCATAGGGAACAGATACCATTGCGATGGGGAGTTTGACTGCAACGATAACTCTGATGAGACAGATTGCCCAGACATCCACCCAGCAGCGTGTGGCGATAAGCTCACCCTTTCTGACTGTGCTCACATGAACGTCACCTCGTACCCCATCTGTCTATACGAAGACGACGCCTTCAAGTACTGTAGAGAGTTTTGTGGTCTGTGCATACAGAACTCGACGAACTCGACGATCTCGACGATCTCGACGAACTCGACGATCTCGACGATCTCGACGAACTCGACAGATACCTCATAGAGACATCACAGCTCTTCCTGTATTGGTCAAGATCATAGATAAAAAGTGACTGTCCATTTCAAGTAGACAAAAAGTATAGATAGAAAATAACATTAATTATTTCCCGACTTTTAGTTTATTCTCGATTCTTTTTTACAACGAGTTTGAGTGATCGAATAAAATTAGTGAAGATATGAAATTAATGTATCATTATGGTCAAGGAACAACGATTTTTAAAAAAAATACTAAAACGAAGAAAAATAGGAATAGAAATGCCATTTCGCCTCCATAAACTAATGGAACTATACTTTTTGGCGTGGTATATAAACACAATGATCCACTGGAGAGATCGAAACTGGGAGCATAAATATAAGGCAAGAAAGGAGAGGGGGAGACCAAACAAAAGATGGGAACCTGGCTTGGAACCAAAACAACTAAGAAAGGGAGAATAATAATAATAATAATAATAATAATAATAATAATAATAATAATAATAATAATAATAATAATAATAATAATAATTTTTAAAAAATAAATAATAAATTGCATTTATATAGCGCATTTCCACAAAGAAGTGCTCAATGCGCCTGTACAATAATACAAAGAACATATGAAGCGCACAGCTCCTATAGTAATCCTCTCTCTCTCTCTCTCTCTCTCTCTCTCTCTCTCTCTCTCTCTCTCTCTCTCTCTCTCTCTCTCTCTCTCTCTCTCTCTCTCTCACTAGTCTCACTCTCTGTCTGTCTGTCTGTGTGTCTGTGTGTCTGTCTGTCTATCTGTCTGTCTGTCTGTCTGTCTGTCTGTCTCTCTCTCCTTCCCTCTCTTTCTCTCTCTCTCTCTCTCTCTCTCTCTCTCTCTCTCTCTCCAGTATATCCTTGAGTAAAGACAATCCCACAACGCTTACCCAGACACCTTCGCACACATTGATAAATTCACAAAGTCATAAATTCTTACAGAACAGAACAGCATGAATAAACGATACTGAGAGAACATAATAGATACAGAGAGTACATAATAATATTTGTATTGGGAATGTCGGAAATTACAAATTGAAGCTGGACGGAAACAAATGCTTTTTAAGCGCTGATTTAAATTTTGATAAGTGGTGGACTGCCGTAGATGAACTGGTAAAGCGTTCCACAGGGAGGGGGCGTGGTGTGAAAAAGCTCTCCCTCCGAGTCTCTGACTTTCGCTCTGGACAGGTCTTAAAAGTCTTTTCGTCGCCGATCTTAAAGGCCGAGATGGTATGAACAGCAACAGGCAAGGTGTTTTATTGACGAAAAAAATGAAAAGCAGCGTCCAACTACTGTAAAAGCAAAAAAAAAAGAAGACGAACAGATGGCTTTAAGCTCCCTACATAAAACGCATTTCTTCATCCAGACTTCGGAACGTCATCGACTATCTTGGTAATAATATAAAGATCTTTTACTGCTTCAGTCGGACTACCTCCTAACGAGAAGCCATGATTCTGATAATGACACTGAGTAGGTGTAAAATACGTCTCCATCTACGCAACTTTGGTCATTCAGGGCTCGGGCCTCGGACTCTGTCTCTGAGGCATAGAACAGCCCAACAGAAAGACCAAGATAGTCGATATAAATTTCTTCTCACTCGGATATCCAACTCGGGTCTCTTGTGGGCGACAGCGAAACGCCTAGCCGCTACACCATTGACGCTCAACTTAAAGACAGGTTACAGTAAATGTTTGTTCAAGACACTACTGTATATCTTAAAATAACAGATTAGTTTGCAATGACAACCCCCCCCCCCCACACGTTTGATGCAAGAGAATGTTTAGTGTGGTAGTAATAAAAACAATGGATACGTTGGGGGTAAGGGGGAGAGCTAGGGGTGAAAGCCAAATGTTGATATTCGACCTCGGTTCCGGCAAACTGTTGTCATTATTTTATGGTAACTTATAAAAATTTGAATATGGTTATGCATCTTTGGGTTAGAGTGTTTACTTATGATGAATGACCTCAACATCCAACACCAATGAGAGGGGACCTTGCTATCTATCGCAGTTAGCGAGTTAGGTAAAGTGAGAAAAGTTAAGGGAAAAAACCCAATACAAAAACAAACAAACCAAAACCCAGCAAACAACTTGCACAAATCGCAAACGCCACAACTCGCCGAAGATAGCAGTGCCTATCTCTTTTCTAAAGTGACGTGCTTATCTGCCTAAACATATTATGGTTACTACACACAATTACACACAAACTTGTTGCCACTACACTTCTCTCTCAATGTAGGAATTTTTAAAGGATAAGATGGACAAGCAGAGGACAAAAAGAAGGAAGGAAGGTGGATGTTTGGACTGGGGCAAGTGGTTTGTTCAAAGTGAGGAAGAGCTGAATACACATTAGACTTATTATCTGCTCCAGGAAGCAAAGGTCTGAATTAAGCAACATCTCTTATATAACCGAGACATACACTAAAGCGCAGGAGGTTGACAGAGTTTTAATAGTACTTGTATTCATCTGTCCCACTATAGAGCTCACAAGACCCTGCAGTCCCAGCTAATTATTAGGGTAATCAATCCTGAGCAAAGAACATCAAAATACACGTGAGGCATTATAGTAAAATCAGGCATATCAAACCAAAGAAATCAAAGAAACCGGAATTTTTCTGCACCCGAAGCAGTTTTTTCTCGACCCTTAATTGTTTTGGCTCAACACCTTTTACGTATGTTTAAACACACATTTCTTTTGGGATTTTACTGAGAAACATGAGACAAAGGCAGAACACATGTACATTTGTAGGTTTTTTGGACAATCATGGTCACAAGACTTTGACAGCCTTTTTCTCGTTAATATTTGCTCCTACACAAGGCAACCCCTTATTTCCATTAATGTCTCGATTTCTATTCAAGATAGATGGGTCTAAAGAAAGACAAACCAACAACATGCAACATGATGCCAATAACTCTGTATGCCCTCCGAACTGACAAGGCCCTGATTCCACCGCGTCGTGACACTTTATGGTGGATGCTCTGCTTCATGGCACCTGAGCCGAAGTAGCGGCTACTCATCTGCTGCTTTCCTCATAATAATCATAGAATTGGCTTTCTGCCGTCAGTGTAAAAGCCGCTCACTGAAAGGATACTCCCAGCATGTCTGGTGTGTTATACAGCAGCACAGATAGAACTACTGTTGATTAAGGCCAGATGCTAAACAAAATATAAGTCTTAGTGTATGGCTGCAGTCCTCCTCCACCCTCGCTGCTTGCACCTTCTGAATGCACGCCCACCATGCTATAACATCACATGTGAGAGGTACCCTACTACGTGGTTATTTCCAGAAGCAAGGATAAACCTGATCTGGCTTGAAATGAAAGAAAGCAAGGAAGGATCTGACATACAAACAATACTAAAAGAAAGATTAATGAGGATAATAATAATTGTGATTATGATGACAATAATAATAGTAGTAATGATAATAATAATAGTAATGAAAATAGCAATAAAAATAATAATAATAATAATAAAAAAAAAATTTAAAAAAATAAAAATAAATAATAATAATAATACCACAATAACAGTAATAATAAAAATAACAACAATATTAATAATACAAATAATAATAATATAATTTTAAAAATAACAACAATAATAATAAAGTAATAACAATAGCACAATAATAATAATAATAATAATAATAATAATAATAATAATAATAATCATTATTATTATTAGAGATAGCATTTGTATAGCGCAAATCCTCCCTCCACTGCAAGCTCTATGCGCTTTACAATATATATTACTACCCCAAAAGAAGTGAGAACATTCTGAAACAAACTCAACTTCCTGGGAAGCATACAGTACAAGCTGACATTTATAGGCGCTAAAACACTAACATATTGACAAGATCTTTCACTGTCTATGGCTGGTTATCCATTCCCACACTGGTGAAGTGAGGAAATTCGTGTAAAGTGCCTTTCCCAAGGACACAACGTCGGCAAGCTGCTCGAGCCCCCAGACCCACAACCTCACGATTACGAGTCCTGTAGCCTAACTACTACTTCTACTATTAATAATAACAACAACACCAACAACAACAATAATAATAATAATAATAATATTAATAATAATAATAATAATAATAATAATAATAATAATAATAATGATAATAATGATAAGAATAATGTGTATGGCTCTCTTCGTCTTTGTAGAGAGTCTTAACTTAAGATGGTGTCACGAGTGTCTTCAAGCGGCTTCTTTTATGGCGAATTCTTTTTATGTTTGAATCACAGATTCTGTCGCAGTGCTTGCATATCAATGAGGTGGATCTAAGCTCTGTATTTCCGCTGTTTTCCTTTCGTCGTTGGCGCTTCTAAGCCTGTTTGTTTCTGAGGCTGCTCTCTAGCATAATAGTTATTCCTTAATCCTTTTCCTCCACGGTTTCCTGTCCTCAGCTATTTCTTCCCAGCTGCTAATATCTACTCCCAACTTAGATAATTTGATTTTGCAAGTGTCTTTGCACCTCAGTTGTACCCTTCCTCTTGGTCTCTTTCCCTGGGCAAGTTCTCCACAAAGAAATTACCTCGGAATCCGGTTGTTGTCCTTTCCCATGACATGGCCCAGCCATTTTAATCTTCTTAAATACATGATAGTTGTCACGCTTTGGAGGTTTGTCTGGGCCAACACTTCAACATTGGTGACCTTGTCACGCCATGAAATGCCTAAGATCCTGCTGCAGGATCTGAGATAGAAAATGTCGAAGCCCTTTTCTTGCCTGCAGAACAAGGTCCATGTTTCAGATCCATAAAGGAGTGCGCTGAGGACACATGCTTAAAACATTTTGATCTTTGTTTGGATGGTTAATCTTTTGTTTTCCCATGCTCTTTTTGTCAGCGTTTCAAAAGTTGTTGCTGCTTTCCCTATCATAATGTTGATCTTATAAGCTGACGGTAAACGCCGGCCCAGGTAACAGAACTTGTCCACTGTCTCAAGTTCCTTGTTGGTCAGCAAAATATGGTTCTGCTCTGCACCTTCCTGAGTAATACAAATGGCCTTTGAA